CCAGGCCGCACAGGAACCCCTCAAGAAGCCCTGCCCGGGAGGAGGGGCTCCACACTTGGCCTTGCCACCCTCCTGGCACCGAGACCGCGCGGCCTGCCCAGGCTTTGCGGAGGGGAGGCCTCCCCCAGGAGCAACCTGGTGACTGGCCGGCTGGCGGGAGAGGAAGCTGGGTGAGCTGTCTGTGCCGGACGCCAGGTGAGGGGTGTCTGAGACTTCACACTTGCCAAGGCCCTGCTGGGAGGTGGGCCACGCAGAGAGACGGGCATCTGAGCTCTCTGTCTCCCCGATCTCTGAGCTCTCTGGCTCTCTGGACTCTGGCTGGAGAACTCCTCATGAAGAACAAATATGTTCTCTTCGAGGCCGAGCCTGGCCAGGTGCTCAGTGTGGGGTTAGCACCCTGCCAACGTCTGCTGAGTAAGTGCACGGCAGGAGGGGAGACCACCACGGAGAGACTGGCCAGGAGAAGCGGCTTTCGGTTGCACACTAGATACTGCTGGGACCAGAGCCTCCTCCCCAAGCCTCCTGGGGGCTGGGTTGCTTCTTGGAGTGTAAAGCATGTTGGGGCCGCCTCCCGCCACCCCCTCTACCAGCCCCTGCCTCCCTGCCGGTTCCCGGCAAGACTCGGGAGAAGCCTGCCGTCCTGGAAGGAGAAGGCCCTTGGGGTCTCTGGGGAGGGCCTGAGGAGGCTGTCTATGCTGGCTGTCAGACGGCCACTCGGTCAGGACCCTGCGCATAATCCCCCCGCCCCCCAGCCTCCCAGCCCGCTGGGACAGCGCCAAGGCTGCCCTGCCCTGACTTGGGGGGTGCTCCCCCAGTCCCCCACCCCGGCTCTGCCTTACCCCAGGACGGGTTGCCACGTGCGCCGTGCTGCCCCGGAGGGCCCAGGCCACAGTGCGTCTCCTGCCCCGCCCGGCCCCTGGCGGATCTGACGGCCAGACCAGTGTCTGCGGCCAGGCCTCTGTGGACCCTCCCTCTTCTCTTTTATCTTGAGAATTCAAATTTCTTGTGGATTTGTCTGTGGGACACGGTGTGAGGACAAGGGGTCAGGTCAGGGTGAGAGCAGCTGCCTCTGGTGTCCACCCAGCATGCCCGTGCCGTTGGCAGACGTGCCTGCCAGTCCCAGGGCAAAGCCCCGAGAAGGGCTGCTAGTCACTGGCTCAGAGGTGCCCTCAGCCTGGCGTCCCAGCAGGCGGGGTGGGGGGGGGCAATGGGACGGGCCAGGGAACCCCCGTCCTGCCCAAACACTGGTCCATAGGGGCTGAGCTCTCCCCAGGCCTCGCTGAGTGGCCCCTGCCCACGGGGCCTCAGCCGCCCCGCCAGGAAGCTGGTGGGGGGCGACGGTGGGGAGAGCTTGCTCTCGGGTTTGCTCAGACGACCGGAAAGTAGCAGGTTTCACAGGCCATGTGTCTGCAGGCCTGCAGAGCTGGCTTCGCTCCATGTCTGCGAAGGGGCTGAGGGGACAGACTCCCCCCGCCCCGCCTCCCCCATGTCCAGGGCTCCGGGGGCCTCAGTCTGCTCAGGGAGTGGACTCTGAACTTGCGTCCTGGGTTTTGTGACCGAACCTCCGGTGCTGATCTGGAAAGAAATACAGAAGGATCCCCCCGGACAAGCTGGCAAACACAGCAGTAGCTTCTATGCCCAGCATATTTTTCTTCCTCAACTCAAACATCATTTTCATTGTTTTTCTCTTGACAGAAGTGTGGTTTCATCTAGAAGAGAGGAAAGAGCCTCAGAGCAAGTTGCCGAGCCTCAGGGGCAGACCCCGGCGGACGGTGAAGCCCAGACAAAGCTGGGGGACTCTAGAGTGTGTGGCCCTGCTGACCCCTGGTTGTCCACGCGGGACTTGGCCCCCATGTTGACGCAGACGTGTGTGGCTGCAGCCCCCATCTGCATCCCTGCACTTTGGGCAGGGCGCAGCCCCTAGGGCCCAGGCACTCTGACCCAGGAGTCCGTGGGTGCCGGGAATTGGAAACTTTCTGGGGACTCACTGCTGGGGACACCAGCAGTCTGTCCCTTCCTAAGGGCCAGTCAGAGGCAGAAGCCTGGCTGAACCAGGCTGGCAGCATCTATGGCCACCTGAGCTCTTGGAACCAGAAGGCTGGCAGATACGGCTTGCTCCCCACACATCAGGCTCAGAATTACCTCAATTCCCCGGTCATGGAGGTTCGGAAGCCCCTTTCCCTTGCTGGCTCCTGTGTCTCCCGGTTGCCTGCCGCTGTGGTCAAAGCTGGCTCTCCAACGTCTGCTCCAACAGCTCTGGAGGCCGGGACTGAGCAGGGGGGAGGACCAACTGGGATGACCAGTCTGCCAGCCATGAACTGCTTCAGTCCTGTTGAGGCAAAACTGGTTGGGAAACCGATTAGGGGAGAGCAGGAAGGGCAAAGGGAGGGGTTGGCTGCCGGGGGCGTGACGAGAAAGGCTCTCTGGCTTTGGGTTGGTTTTGACGTAGGGATCGTTTCCTCCTCTGCCACTTCTCACCTTTAGTAAGAGCACAACTATTCCATGTGAGCCTACCACCTAACGACAAACGGACCTCCGCTCCATCCATCCATAAGTACATCCATCCCCCACCACGCTCCCACCGGACCACCCATCCGTCACCTGTCTATGCACGCGTGCACTTGTCCCTCCGTTTATCCACACTCCCATCCACTCATCCACCCAACCGTCCATCTGTCCATCCACCCATCCAACCATCCACCCAACCGTCCATCTGTCCATCTACCCAACCATCCGTCCATCCATTCACCCATCCACTGTCCATCCATCCGTCCATCCATCCACCCATCCAACCACCCATCCACCCAACCACTCATCTGTCCATCCATCCAACTATCCACTGTCCGTCCATCCATCCATCCACCCATCCAACCATCTACCCAACCACCCATCTCTCCATCCATCCAGCCATCCACTGTCCATCCATCCACCCATCCAACCATCCATCCACCCAACCATCCACCTGTCCATCTACCCAACCATCCGTCCATCCATTCACCCATCCACTGTCCATCCATCCATCCATCCATCCATCCACCCAACCACTCATCTGTCCATCCATCCAACTATCCATTGTCCATCCATCCACCCATCCAACCATCTACCCAACCACCCATCTGTCCATCCATCCAACCACCCATCTGTCCATCCATCCAACCATCTGTCCACCCATCCACCCATCCACTGTCCGTCCATCCATCCATCCATCCATCCATCCACCTAGCCCTCCTTCCAGTTATTCTGCTACCCGTCTCCCTGCACACCTCCTCTGCCCAATTTGTCTCCAGTGCCTCGCATTCTGCCTGGCATAGAGTAGGTGCTCCACATTCACACATTCATTCAACAAATATTTGCCAAGGGCCTCCTAAGGGTCATGCACTGTGCTAGATGCCGAGGTTATGCAAGTGAACAAAACTGACCAAACGCCTCCCTTTGGAGGTTGCAAACCAGACAAGTGAAGTGCACCTGTGCAGAGGATGTGAGTTGGGGAGGGAGCAGGAAGTGTTTGCTGGAGGTGGGGTGAGGCTTCAGAGCTGGTGGCCAAGGAAGGCCTCATGAGAAGGTGGCATCTGGGAGACGAGCAGTGTAGGCAGCGTGAAGAGCATATGCAAAGGCCCTGAGGCAGAAATATGCCTGGCAGGACAGAGGAGCTGTAGGGGCCGGTGTGAGTGGAATGCAGAGAGCCAGGGGGAGCAGCAGGAGGTGAGGGCAGCGAGTGTGGGACCAGCTCTGGTCAGCCTGGAGGTCCTGGCACAGACTTGGGGGGTGAGCCCTGACAGCACTGCTGTGTGCAGAAGCTGCAGGGTATGGGTGGATGGAGTCGGCTGGGGATGCACTTTGAAGTAGGATGGACAAGACTTGCCATGGACTACAGGGCAGGAGCGAAGCAGAGGCAGAAGCCAAACATTTGTGCCTGAACAACGAAGACTGCAGGGTCGGGGGGTGGGGGGGCCCCAGCACAGGGCCATCAGGGAGCCGAGGGAGCAGCCACTGTGTGGGTGTGGGGACAGTGTGTGGTGCCCTGAGGGCGGGGTGGGGAGCCCTATCCTGGAGGGTGGGGGGCAGAGTGCAGACACAAGTGTAGGAGGGAAGTGGGTGCTGGATGGAGGCGCACGGGGTCTGTAGGGTTCCCGGGATGGGAAGCGGCAGTGTGCTTCTCGTGGCAGGGGCTGGGTGCTCCCTCCCTGTTCCTCATTCCTCGGAGAATGATGGAGAAGAGTGGTGGGCTTCGAGCATGGGCCCAGCCTAGCTCCAGCCAGTGCAGGGTGGGCACAGGCTGAGCCCCAGGGGCCATGGAAGGTGGAGCCGGGCGGAGGCCTTGGATCCTGGCTCTGGCCTGCTCAGTGGAGGCCGAAGGAGGCCCCGCCACCCGCCCTTCCCTGTCAGCCTGCCACAGCCTCCCCGAGTCTTCCCGTTCCCCTGCCCTGCCCTGCTCCCAGGCCCTGGGTGGGTTTCAGAGGCAGCTGTAAAATCCAAGAAGTGTCCCCCAGACACGAAACTCATTTCCAGAAAACCAATCACCTGCTGCTGCCTCTTGATTTCTCATTTGGCAGCGGGTTCCCATGTCCTCGGGCTGCCTGCAGGGCGGGGGGTGCTGAGCCACCCTCCAAGGCCGGGATCATGGGCGGGAGGCAGTGCTGGCTCGGAGGGGACAGTAGGGCCGGCTGCACTGCCAGACTCTTGGGGGCTGGGGGGGGACAGGATCGCCCCCTCCCCAGCCTGGCCTGGGCTCCCCCTGGGGACTGGAGGTGCCAGCCAGAGGGGGGCCTGGCTGTGTGGGAAGGGGCTTGCTGTCTGGGTCAGGCGCCTCTCAGGAGTCGGTGTTGAGCGTTTTATTGAAGCCATGGGATGCGTGAGGGTGGCTCTCCAGCCCCCATTCAGTCCCACTGCAGAAGTGCAGGAAGGTGCCCCGCAGAGCAGAGGGGACTTCTTCCATTCGAAGTGAGGATGGTCTCCCGAGGGGGACACTGGTGGCTGTCAGGTGCATGGGGGTGGCTCCCCTAGCTCGGGGATTCGGGGCCTTCTCCAGGGAAGTGGGGCTGCTGGTCCGTCCCCTTCCCCAAGACCCGAAGGTGTTTGAAGGCGGTGGGCAGCGTGTGGCCCAGGAAGGGAGGGTCGGTCACATCGCAGATCATGATGACATACTCCCCTGCAAAAGACAGGCGCTCAGACACGGCCCCCAGGGGCCCCCGACTGCCCAGGCCCCTGCCCCTGCCTCTCTCCGGTCTCGGTTTCTGTCCACCGCACACCCTGCCTGGGACCCTGGGACCCTGCCTCAGTGCCCCGATGGGGGCTCCAGGCCTTCTCCTTGGCCGGTGACCCTGGGACCCGGGGGCGCAGAGAGCCCCTCACGGCTGATGGGGCTGCATGGCTGAGTGCAAGGATTCTTTTGAAAATATCCCCTATCTTTTTAGGAGAAAGAGAATTCGTTTCCTCTAAAATGTTTTTTTAAACAATTAAGCTTCCGAAAACGTGGCCGCCTGGCCGGCTGTGGGCTGGGGCAGGAGGGCCGCCCTCCGGTGCGCTCGGGAGAAGGAGAAGTACTTTCCCTCTTGCAGTCTGTAAACTGTCTGCAGAGCTTCAAAGTTGGAGAAACCGTAAAAAAGAAAATAAGAAATAACAGAAAGTGCGGTTGCCATAGAAACCGTCCTCTCCCCTCCCCCGAGCCCAAGGGGGCTGGCACTGGAGCGTGGAAAAAGCTCGCTGGGCTGGCCCGGGCTCACACCAGGAATGCGGCCGCAGCTGAGACGGGGCGCAGGAGTCGGCTCACACCGTCAGAGAGAACATTCCAGTGCCCCGGTCTGGAAAGCAGGCCCTCTCCCCGCTGTGCCCTGCGGACACCGCGTGTTCCTGGGGCAGGATGAGAAAGGGCCTCAGCGGCAGGAATTTGCTGGGCTCTGAGTCAGTTCCTTCAGCAACTCGGGGGGCCTGGGAGGGGGCCCACATTCCACAGCCAGGGGCACCAGGCCTCCCCGGCCGGCCTGGAGGAGACGCCACACATGGCAACGCCACGGTGTTTCCAAGCAGCGCGGGTTTCTAGGTGTTCCCAGGAACACAGCCCCCCAGCCTGTGGTCAGTGGCGCCGGCTGAGGAGCAGGGCGCAGTGGGCAGCGGCCGCAGAACCCAGCCCAGCCCTCGTCTGACCTCGCTCCTGATGCTCTTCTCCCAGAGGCCGGGAGAGGGTCTGGCTGGTGGCCACCCGAGGCCCGGCCCACACGGTCTGGCCGCGGGCCTGGTGCCTGGCGTCCCCACAGAGACGGCGCGGCCCACATCTCAGGGACTTGGCCACCCGCTGGCTTTGCCCCTCGTGGTCTGGAAATTGCTGCTCCTCAGGGCCTGGCCCTCCTCCAGCCAATCCCCCATCGGCCCCTCCCAGCTCAGTGCAGGGCGTCCCCTCTGCCCACCCTGGACCCCTCCCCTGGGGCGCACACGAGGGTCCCAGGGGCCTGAAGGGCAGACTCCTGTGGCTGCTGCTGGGGCTCCCAGTGCCAGCCCAAAGGGGCACGTGGGGGGCGCTGCCCAGGACCCAGCCCTCCTCCTGCACAAGGTGGGCTCAGGGTCCACAGGCCCTGCTAACACTCCCAAATACACGTGGGGTTGGAGGGGGCCCAGACCTGGAGGCCTGCCAGCCTTCCAATCAGGCCTGGGGACACAAGGAACCAGGGACATGCACTTTGCCCATGGGGACAGAGGGGCAGCCAGGATGGGCAAGCACCCCTCGCCATGCCCTGCCCCGTGCCCGCAGCCCTCTGAAGGGACAGAGGCTGGAGAGGGTCTGTGGCAGCCCTGGGCCCATCCATGTCCCCTCCACCTCTGGTGCCTCTGGGGTGCCTGGGGTGGTGTGTGGTGGGCGGCCAGGCTGGGAGCTGCCCCAGCCACGATGAGTGTTGAATTTAGGGGTGCGTTCAGGGGAAGGGGGTTTTTCCAAAGGGTCCACAACTATGATACATGTGGATTGTGGGGTGACCGGTGGCCTTGGCCCGTTTGACTGAGTCCTCCTCCCGCCCACCTACCTGGGAAGGCTGCTGCCGCCGGCTCGGTCGTGGCTGCCCCGTCAGGCCTGCAGGGAGAAGAGGAGGAAGCCCCTGGAAGACTGCAGCCCCGAGGACAGCAGAGTCGCCGCAGTCCTGGCCCCACGTGGGCACAGCCGCAACCATCCTGTCCTCGGAGGCCCCACCTCTGCCTTCCGAGCGCAGCGTGTGCAACCCCCTCTGGACAGCCCTCTGCCCCCTGCTCCCCGGCCGGTGCCTTCCTGTCTACACCCAAACATGCCCGTGGACAGACACTGGAGCCGGAGCCTCACAAGCTCGCCCATTTCCACAGCTGGTGCCACCGCGTGCACAACCAGGTGTGGCTTTTGGGGGCACCGAGGCCGCACAACGCCGGGCAGAGCAGCCGCTCAGGAAAGGGCCGATGCGCCGGGTCCACTGCGTTTGGCATTTATATTCCAGTGGCAGCTGGGCTCCGTGGGAGGTGGGGCCGTGGGGGGCACTGGTGTGTCCCCTTGGGTCCCCCTCAGAAGGACTGAAGGTCACTGTTACCTGGGAGACTCACGGGAAGGGACAAAGTAGCAGGCAGAGACAGGAGGGGTGGGCCCAGGCCTGGCCCCAAGTCTGAGGGACAGAGACCCTCACTTCTGGCCACGGCAGCCACAAGAGGGCCCTGGTGGGCAGCCCGAGGCAGCTCAGTCAAGCCTGAGGCTGAGGGCTCTGACACGACCGGAGGTTCTCCTCTCCGTGGTGCGCGGTGATGTGCCCGCTCCGCCTGCCCGCAGGGGCGGTCACCTGCCCAGGAGGACGTGCTGCGTGCCGGTGAGGACACCTGGCGCATGTCGTCAGCTTCTGCCCTGGGTCAGGCCCTCAGCCTCCTCCCACCACCTTGGGAGCAGGGAGCCGGCGCAGTGTGGATGCCCACCTGCGTCCTCCAGCTGCTGGACGCACTTTCCTGGTGGGACGGAGGCCCCGAGTGTGGCGGGCTGGGCTTTGCCCTGAATTCTCTCTCCAATGGGACTTGGAGGGGGGGCTGGGGGACTCCTCCCACCCCTGCCCTCCGTGGCTGTTGGTTTCCTGTCATCAGAGGCGGTGGGGGGGGCGGGGGCTGGAGGCCGGGGGCTCCCTGGCATCAGCTCGGCGACTCGCCAGGCTCCGACCCCGTGCCAAGCTTAATTACCACAGGCATGGTTTGGGTGATAAAAAATTAAAGACAAAAGATTTTAAAATTACTTCATTTCAAGTGGGGGAAAATGGGCCTTGGCTTGGACCCAGGAGCCACGTTACAAATTCTGAAGTGTGGGTGAGGAGGGGAATGCAGATAAATAATTCAGCACTAAGAATAACCAGAGTCTGTCAGCCTGCCAGCTTCAAGAGAAATAGACAGGGTTACAAGAATCCTGAGAGTTTTTACAGAACCCCCAGGGCTTTGAGAAGGCAGAGGCAGAGCCAGGAAGGAGCTGGGGAGCCTTGGTGTGAGGTGATGCTGGAGGCGCCCATTAGCGGAATGGCTCTCCAAGCCGCGCAGGGTGAGGGCATGGTGCCCTAAGAGACCTGGGAGGCACGTCCGAGAGACCGGCGGCTGAGGGTGCAGCCGGAGCCCTGGGTGGCAGGAACCCTGTTCTGGGCACAGACCTTGTACACAGCACCAGGCGGAGCCTCCAGGGTTCAAGGGCGATCAGAGCAGGGAGAGGTGACAGGCCTCCTGGGCAGACTTGGGAGCCCGCGGTGGGCGGGCAGGGGGCTGGGGGCCTGGCGTTCAGGGGCTGGTGCTGGGAGCTGGAATGGGGCCGGGGCCCAGCACTGCATCCTGTGTTTTCTCTTGATCTGCAGCTGGTGTCCTTGTCCTCAAGCTTCCTGTGCTTGGGGTTCCTTGTGTCTTGAATCTACAGGTTTATATTTTTCATGAAGTTTGAACACTTTCTGGCCATTTCTTTGTTTCTTCTGTCACATTCTCCCCTGCAGCACTTGGGAGCCTCTGATCCTGCACGTGGTTGGCCGATAGGAGCCGTCTCGCTCATGATGTTCAGTCTTTTCTTTCTGGGTTTCATTTGGGGGGTTGCTATGGCTGTGCCTGCAAGCTCACGGCTCTCATTTCCTTCCACCCATCCCTGCCCACATTTTTCAGCTCCGGAGGGTGATTCCACTCCTTCACGCCTCCCGTGTCTGCCGAGCATGGCCAGTCTTCCCTGCTGGACATGCACAGTCCACTCAGAACGTTTCACCTCCCCATCTACTGACTCTCCCATTTGTGTCATTTCTGGGTTGGCTTTGATTAGTTTATTTTTCCTCATTATGGGTTGTACTTTCCTGCTTTCTTCGTGTGCCTGGTAACCTTTGGTCAGATGTGAGACATCGTGAACTTTACTTTCTTGGCTACTGGCTACTTTGTATTCTTATAAATATTCTTGATGCTGTTCAGTTCCTTAGAGATGGTTTGATCCTTTTGGGTCTGGCTTTTAAGGTTTGTTAGGTGGGGTTCAAGGTAGGGTTCATTATTCCCCACTACTAAATACTCTTCTGATGTCCTGTGAATCTGGAGGTCTTCCGGGCTGACCGCCGGACCAAGCACTCTCCACAGCCCCGTGTGAGCTCCGGGCAGGGCTCGCTGTGACCCTCTCCGTGGTTTTCCCGGCCTCAAGCACGTTCCTCATGCTCTGCAGATCTCTAGGACTCTTTCCTCTCCCGTGCTCCCTCCTGCAGACTCTAGCTGCCTTGGCTTTCTAGGACTCGCAGCTCCATCTCTGCCCTTGGGGGGACCCCCGGAACTGCTGGGTCTCCTCCCTGCACCACAGCTGGAAATGCTCAGGAAGCGAGCTGGGGCCTTGAAGTGTCATGAAGGCTGGCTGTTGTTTCCCGGCTCTTGTCCAACTTGTTTGTTGTTTACCTGTGTGTGTGTGTGTGGGGGGGCAAATCCTGCCCCTTGCACTTCGTCCTGGCTGGAAGCAGAAGCCTGTTTCTGCATCTGTAAACCAAACTGGGATGTGGAGCCCTGATGGTCCCAGCTCGTGTCCTTGTGGTCCGTCCTGAAGGGTTGAGGCTCCTTGTGGAGGACAGAGCATGAGGCCTCTGCCCCTGCTATTTGGGGTCATCCTTCGAGGGCCCCCAAATGGCATCTTGTCCTGACTGCTTGTGGCCCTGTGAGGTGGGGCCTGATCCCATGGGAATCATCTGTAGCATGGAATCACCTTCCCATGGTGGGTCTTCCAGTCCCCACAAGGCCCCAGGAGGGGAACTGGATGGCCTCCTGCCAAGGTCAACAAGGTAACCCTGCAAGTTCCTCCTAGGTGTTCAGCTACCTGAGTGGCTCACCAGTCCAGTCGCTGTCCCCTCAGCACAGCCTGCCCTGGTGCTCCCCATGTCCCCATGTCTTTCCCTTTCTTCAGGCCCTGAGAATGTCATTTCTGAGCCACATGACCTTGACTAGGACATGTGTGTCTCAGGACTGCACTGAAAAGTCATGAGGCCCCACAAGAAGGCACTGGGACTCTGTCCCACTGGAATTACCAAGAGCACTTCTGACCCTAAGCAGAACTGTCGCTGAGGCGATGCCCACAGCAGCCTGGGCAGGGCATGGGGGCCATAGGCAAGGTCTGGGGTGTGTGGGTCCTCAGTGCTTCTCTGCAGGCCCGGATGGTAGTGCAGGGGAGAACAAATTGGCAGAGCTGAAGAAATGACCATAATTGGAGAGGAAGCCTGAGGCCAGTCAGCCAGACCCTGGCCCAGTGGGGCTGGAACCTGTGTGCACACTTGTCCTTTCACTGGGCAGCTGAACAGAGGGAGGCAATGCTGAGGGGGTGTGAAGACCCCACGGCCAAGCACACAGTGGGTGGCAAGAGAAGGGGGTTCCCTTGAGTGAACCAAAGGTCTCCAGGTAGCCCAGGTGACCCGGGCCTGTCCACCCACAGGTCACTGAGGGACCAGCGGGGCTTTGGGCTTGGTGGCCCTATGGTTAGTCAGAGGAGGCCCATTGGCTGAAGACCAGACTGGGGGGCAGGGGGCTGGGCGAACAGTCTCAGGGCTTTGTCAGGACCATCAGGCCTGGTCCTGACCCTTGTTGTCACTGGTTTTCAGGCTGTGGAGGGGGCACGGGGACCAATCTGCCCAAGGCCCGCCCAGGGCAAGAGGGCACAGGGACCCTTTCCCGCATCCTGGCTTGGAGAGAGCCCCCACCTCTGGGGCAGTGTGTGTCGAGGCCCAGGATCCTGTGGGCATCATGGCTGTCCTCCTGTACTAATGGGCTGTGCTGGCTGAGGGAACCGGGGAGCCATGGAGTCAAAGACACAGATTAGGAAAACTGCCGCCCGGAGGGTGTGTGGCGGGCAGAGAAGCTGCCCGGGGTCTACTGACCTGCTCACGTGGGATGTGAGCCCCAGGGCTTTCTGTGGCCCCCATGGAGGGCCCATAAGAAAGTTCCAAAATTAGAACAGTCAGCTAACTGCGGGAGCAGGGCTGGCCTGGATCTGGGGCTGAGCTGGACAGCATTGCGGCTTCCTGGGGACCCCCGGGGATGCAGGAGGTTCAGGGCCCTGGGCCCCAAGTGAGAGCCACGGTGGGCAGCCCTGGCTTCTCTCCCAGACAGTGTGGCCCCAGAGGGTGGTCTGCTCCGCGGGGCCCCCAGCAGGCCCGTCCCCACCCAAGCTCACACTGGGACTGGGGGTTACGCTGCCACAGTGGCCCCTCAGAGTGAGGCCCCTGCACACGTATGTGTGCGGGAGAGCGGCTGAGGGCCAAGAGGCAGGGGGCGCAGATGCACCAGAGGCTCCAGGAAATCTCAGCCGACACCCGGGGCGCCAAGAGGGGCGGGGGCTCCCCTGTCCCCACTGGGCAATCAGCTCTGGGCCCTGAAAGCCCGCAGGGGGTGGGTGCCTGCTCCCTCGTGGGGGTGGGGGCGCCCGCCGGTGGCCTGCAGTGGGCGTGTGAGGGGTTAGGGCCCCGCCTGCCGCCAGCCTCTGTCTGCTGTCGTGGTCACTGTTCCGGCCCTGCGGTGCCGTGGGGGGTTAGGGCGGCCCGAGCGCCAGCCCAGCTGCTTCATCCGCCCCGCTGGCCCTCACACCTGCTTCCGTTTATT